AAAGATCCCTGGACAGGGGGAATGGTCGAACTGAGGGTCCCTAAGGGCTAGGGACTCAAACATTAACACATTTCTCCTCCTCTTTATCCCCATTGTTGGGATAAGAGATGCCAAAGGCTCAGTCACCAAATATCTTGCTGAGCTGGTGAACACCAACTCAGCTGCAGTGCCGGAGGTGACAATATCAGAAAGCTCATCTGTGCCCCCTCTGAGAGAAACAACAATAGCTGAAGGGCTCCCAGTACACAGGGCCAAAGATAGGCCACATCCCTTGCTCAGATGCAGGAATCTAGGCCCTTGCTTTTGTGGACCTTACGTTTTGGAGGTAGCTTGAACAGAACAGTGGACTCTAATCTCCCAGTGCATTTAACTTGTGGAAGAGGAGGAAAAGAGACTGACTTGGGGCTAGTGACGTCAACCAGCCCTGACAAAGGACTGTTGGCTGGTTTGTTTCATGTTGTTTCCCCTGCCCCATTTACAATAAACTCTATTGTTGTTGCAAAAACTGCTGTCAACTCCAGGGATCTGGGAATGAAGGTGGAGGGGTTCCCTGCCAACCAAGGGAGGGATGGCAGGACTCACACTCTTTATTTAGAATAACTAATTATCACTGAGGTAAATTCATGTAGCATCAATGCCACCATACAGAGTTTGTCATGCTTCCTTTGGTGAGCTGGGGGATCCTATGATTTTCCAACCCAAACACAATAGGTAAGGTTGATAAGGCACTGTTTTGAAAGCGGGTGGGAGAAAATCCCTTAAGTCACAATGGAGCTTAATTCGTTGATATGTAAACACAAAGCATTTACAGATGAAAGACCAATGATCAATAAACAAAATATATACTCTGAAGTATGAACAAGCTAGCTACACTTAGTAGCTACTCTAACTCCAGCCCTGGGGTCACTTAAAAGGCAATACAGTACCACTAAATAGCTGTATGACAGGACAGAATTAGATTAAATTATCTACATTTGGTCTCTTAGGATGATTCTTAACTGAGACTTCCTAGTCAGCTTCCAAATCCCCTTCCTGATTGCCTCCGTCTTGATAGACAGCTCCTTAGGCCATGCTGTGGACATTTCCAGAGCAATAAGATTATGAATAAGGAAGATGCCAGGTGTAGCAATAATCAAAGAGAAAGCTCTTGCACAAAGCCTTGCATAACGGCCTGTGCAAATATAAGAAGTTCTGTGGATCTAGGATCATTTTTCCGAAGTAGTGCTCTTCCACTAAGTTGAAAACAGCACTACTGTGGACAGAAAATGCTTTCCATAAGCAGGAGACAGCTTTGAATCCAAGCACATGACATCATGCTTAATAGTGCAGGGCATTATATTACACAGGCATCACACAATTACACATGCACACCCAACACACCCACCAGGCAAACATTCTGGTATACAAACCATAGGATCAAGCATGAGATTGTAATTCCCGAACCCAATAGGAGCTTTCCTTACCAAATCCCACTATAGTTTAAAGTCCCAGTCTAACTGACACACAAGAAAAACAACACTAAATTATTGAATTATTCTATCAAAAATAAGCCTCTGTTCCTAATGAAGGCACTATATATTTAGGGGAGGGGGTTTATATCTCTAAAGTGTGAGACAAATCCATACTGAAATGATGAACTGCAAAACCCAAGTATTCTTGGCAGAAGACAGGAGTAGGGTTTTTCCTCCCAAAAGAGAAACAAAGGATTCCTGAAAAGCCCACCATTGATTTATTTTTCCAATTTTGAATACCTTAGGAGTAGCAGAACTGCTACTGGCATGGTAGTATTACTAACAGTCAATAAATCTAAAATATTATGTGTGAATATTGGAATGAAGCCATTAAGAAGATTACAGCACGCAACACAGCAGAGGGTCCACATGAAAAAAGGACAGGTAATTCAGGACAACTGTGACCGCTGACCTTTGAACAGTCAAGACCACTGGTCAATCTGACACACTAATAGAGTTCACATGCATAGAAAGTCATCTAGCCTGTAAGTATAACTTAAATGCTTTAGCGAATGATTTAAAAAGGCCCGTTAAGTCTCAGGTAATTTATTAAACAGTTGATTAGACACAATGCCAAACACTAATGTTTTTCAGATTCCAACTGATAACTTTTCTTCAAAATGAAAAGCCATCCATAGTAAATGAAACATCACAATATTAAACAGTATTATGGAAGACTGCTAGACTACTATGAAGTTTACAAGAGATATAAATGTTATATAAGAATATACATTTAAGCCTTTCTGGATATATAATTTTTTTCACAAGTGGGCCATGAGACCAGAAAGCAATTCTAATGTTTAAAAATCTACACATTTTAGGAATCAATCTGAATTCACTTTAAGGCTATACCAGGGAAGCTAAATTTTCATTTGTGTACTAATTTTTCATGTGACTTACCTTTTTTTTTAATCATGAAATGTAACTGTGAGATGGCACTTACATGTAAAAAATAACCTTACATTAAAGACAAATACATTAAAAACATTTAGTTGTTTGTATATTAAACAATTGTGCCAATACTCATATTTGATTTCAACTTTCAGTCTTAGTACAGTAATTCTAAATATAGTGCCAACAATACTGTTGGAATCTATTGTCAACACTGAAGACAAGCACATTAATACCTATGCTTAGTCTTTAATCATATTCTGCTGCCCCTTGAGAGTTTATGAACTGAACATTATACAGCAATTGTACAGCTGATTGCTAGAAGCCTGTGTTTGTATGTGTTTTTAATTAATGAATTTCCTCCACAAGAAAAGCTTTCATTTTAAACTCAGAATGAAAGGGATCAGGACAGTCATGCACAAAATAACAAAACAAACCTTGTTTTAGCAGAAAAGATAGTTACATTGTACAGGAATATATATAACACATTTCTAATTTTGTTCCCTGTTTTAAATGGGATATTTCATTTTTGTAAAAGGAAAGCTGCATATGAAGGGTAATGTGTTTGTGTGACCAAACTTTGCCTTTAGCAATTATTTGCTTGAGTTCAGTGATACTAAGAACAAGGATTTAATGCAAATTTCCACATGTAAGATTTGTCCATTTGCCCATTTCTATAAAACTATTCAAAAGCCACAGAGAACATCCTTGAAAGTACTTATTTTAGAAGATCACTGAAAATCTATTTTCAGCTAGGAAAATGGGGTACAGAAATGTAGGATTGTGTCTAGTTGGCTAGACAAAAAAAGTGGATCTCTTTTACATATCTGGTGTGTAAGACGGCTCCTAGAAATATTGATTCCTCAACTGCAAACTGCTATACAAATTTGCAAAATTAGAATGTACAGCTGACCACCAAAAAACCTGAAACTCAACTACAGAAGCCACAATATGAAGTTTTGATTTGTCCATAACTTTGTATAAACTTATACAACCCTCTAGCTAGTGATAACTCTAATGCATATAAAATGCTGGATTGTAGTCTCTGGATGCTCATACAATGTGAAGTCCTGACTGCATACTTATGGCACAATGCTACAAAAGATAACAGAAGAATGTTGGTGGATTCAGAAGTCAGCACATGCTTTGGAACAACTGGGTTGTAGCTCCAGGAATCAATTATAATTACATATGTGCTATTAAATTGAATCTGATTTATAATGACCCTATTTATATAGTTTTCTGGGACTGTGCAGCTTACCCAAGGCTGTACTGGTGCTGCTCTGAGACCATGGAGCTTGCCAGATGGCAGTGAACATACCCCATCAACCACATAGAATAATGGAGTTGCCTATATGGCCCTGAGTCCAACCTCCTACTCACTGCAGAAATCCAAATCAGAGTATATTTAACAGATGGTTGTCTAATTTTGAGTGTCTCCAGCACTGGAGCATTCACCACCTCCCAAAATAATTGGTTCCACTGTCACAATGCTCAAACTGTTAAGACATTTCTCCTGATATTCATACATCTGGGTTATCTTGGCTGGCCCCTTTCCTGGGAAGCACAGTAGGGATTTGAACCCCAAGACATGGTACTCCAACTCACTGCGCTATCCGGTCTATGATATCACTAGTACATTTAGCTGCTGGTGATTTACAAGGCATTTGTCTAAAAGACTAGTCAATGCTATGTCAAAAGTCTTCTAATGAATGAATGAAAGGACTGTGAGGACATACATAATGTAAAATTAATGTTTGTTCTGATAAGTAGACTTTTGGATAATGTGAGTAAATAAATAAGAATAGGTTATGTGTTCACCTATTTGTTTCTTTTTTGTCCCAAAGCGAATGAATATATCTAACTGAATATTAAATTTGCCTCTATAAAGGTAAAGGTAATGGTTCCCCTTGACATTTAGTCCAGTCGCGTCCAACTCTAGGGCGCGGTGCTCATCCCTGTTTCCAAGCCATAGAGCCAGTGTTTGTCCTTAGACAGTTCCGTGGTCACATGGCCAGTGCGACTAGACATGGAATGACGTTACCTTCCCACCAATGTGGTACCTATTTATCTACTCGCATTTACATGCTTTCGAACTGCTAGATTGGCAGGAAAATTTGCCTCTGATCAAGCTTAATTACTTCAAAAAGTAAATGAATCTAACTGAATTATCATAGAAGCAAAAAAACAGGTTAATTGTTGTCCTATTGCCTTGAGGAAATACAATTTTGAACAGCCCTTAAGCATACAACATTCAATTATAAATAAGAGATTATCATTTCACTCCCATTTTGGTACATTGATTAACAATCTCCACCCAACTATGTCTTAAAAATGCAAAAAATAAAATAAAATACAATAAATCATTTTCACAGCTACATTGCATGGGAAAGGGGGCTGGTATATTTCTGGAGTCTATTTAGCATGAAACAGGGAATACGTCCCATTATAAGCAGCAAGAAAAAAATCTCTATAAGATCAAAGTCCAGAAAGAACTGGCAGTGAATTTATCTTCTTTTATAGACAAAAGACAGTTTTCGTCATTTTCAAAAGGATCCAGTGTCTTTTATGGCAAACTGGGTTTACAGTTTAATTTACAAATAGAATTATAAGTAAGCAGTCTTTGTTCTGCCAAAGCAAATGACAAACATTGTATGGTTTTCGATTCATGCAGTCCTCAGCAGGATAGAAGAGATTAAAATAAAACTGAAATAATTTAGAGAAAACAAATAAATGTTTCAGAAAGTTGAAGGAGATCAAAGTGTGCATTTTCTGACCCCAACTGTACAAGCATTTCTTATTATATTGACCAGTGTCATCAGATCATTAATTAAAAGGAGATGTGCTGGCAGGTGGCAGAGAACCAGAAGCCGATAATTGGCCCCCTTCTTCTTTTTGCCTTCAGAAACTCCATTTTTTTTCCTTTGCAAGATATGCCACTAGGCAGACAGAAATGCCTACTTTGTAATATAATGATTAAGATGAGATGAAGAGACTCTTGCGTTTAAACAGCTATGCCTAATGAATGCAGCTAGCTTTATAATTATGATCTTTTTTTACAATAAGAAGTATGATGCTCCACTCACCATGCCCTCAACTGTCAGGGGGGGAAAGGGAGGGGGAAAATGAGAGGGACTGTTAAATAGGAAATCTACAGCTGGTAGTACAGTGTTTGTGGAGGGGGGGAATATTCTTTTTATTTCATTTAGCAAAAGTGGGGGAAATGTCAGTAATTCAAACAGCTAAGAGGATAAAAATCATCAAATGAAACCTTCCAGGCTTACCACTTCACTTGGTAGGCTGCTCAGGTCATTAAACGGTGTTTCCAATGTGTTTGTGTCAACATTTAGCATCACCACATCCTCAAGTGATTTACTTTTCACTCTCTGTACAAAGAAACAGCACAGGGTGGAAGTATTTTAATGCATCATTGCCTCATTTTTAATATGGTAAATAGTATGGTTTACAGAGGAGTCAAAAAAATGGGACACAAATATATATTTTCACAGACTGCATCTTGTCCAAAGGCCTGTACTCTACTTGTACACAACATTTAACTGATATCTAGAATTCACCGTAAGATGAAGTGAGGACTACTGGCTTAGAAAGCTATAAGGAGCGACAAATGCATGGAGCAACAATGGATCTCTAGCAACATTTCTTTGCTAAACAGAACCTTCACGAGCAGAAGTAGGTACTCATTGCTCAGAAGCAACTGCCTAGGAGAGCTGCAAGCATACGATCCTGTGCTAGGTTCAGTGACATGACAAAGAGCCATGTGATCTGAATGTACTGTACTTGGTGGCCATAAATTGTCTACAGTGGCAACAGGGCAAAACATCCATAGTGACGCTGGGCAGTATTTTTAGAATACTTCATTCCTTCTAATAATTATTTGACTGTATATTTTATTGTGGACTGCCCGGAATAGTGCTGCAGCACTAACAGGATAAGTATATTGACATGACAAAGAGCCATGTGATCTGAATGTACTGTACTTGGTGGCCATAAATTGTCTACAGTGGCAACAGGGCAAAACATCCATAGTGACGCTGGGCAGTATTTTTAGAATACTTCATTCCTTCTAATAATTATTTGACTGTATATTTTATTGTGGACTGCCCGGAATAGTGCTGCAGCACTAACAGGATAAGTATATTAAATTGAAATAATAAATAATAATAAATAAATATAGTATTGTATCATCATCATCCACCCAGAATCTCCCAGCCAGCAAAAGTACTAGTAATCTATGTTGGGAGATTCTAGGAATTGTTGTCACAAGGACTAATTTTTCCAAGCTCTGCACAAACCACATTCCTTCCCTCTTGTCCAATTTCCTGCAATATCATTCATTCATTCATTCATTCATTCATTCATTCATTCATTCATTTACCACCTTCCTTCTTAAAAAGAACAAGGAATCACATTGTGAAAAATGATAAAGGAAGCTTCACTTTTTCACTTTAAATGTGTTTCATGAGAAAGGAACAAGCTTCAGAAGAACAGTCATTTATTTATTTATTTATTTATTTACCACCTTTCTTCTTAAAAAGAACAAGGAATCACATTGTGAAATGAAAACGGTTCTGCACTCACCTCCATTAAACTGAAGTGAACTCCAATCAAGTATGGCATTGGTGCACTGAAATAAAAAACACACACACACAAAACAAAATTCAGCAGTTTTAATGAAACTGATGAATACTACATTCTTAAATGAGGCACTATATAGGTTGCCATCCTATTAACTACTTACTTGGGAGTATGTCCAGTAATGTGACATATTTCTAGGTAGGTTGTTCTATAAGGATATTTGCTAATACACAGATGGAAATCTGAAGTTCAAATTTTAATTCTTAATATATCATGATAATTCTTACAGGTGTATCATAAAGATTTAAACAATCCTTAATATCGCATGTTAATTCTTACAGGTACATTGCAAAGACTGTAACAACACATAGCAAAGCAGACTCATAATAGGGAATAAGTAACTTTTTTCTTCCTGATATAGGGGCTCTTTTCCTCAGGGGCAATCTGACAGGGGCCACCTGAGAATGGTAGATGGGACTAAAATCTGTGCTGGGTGTGGTCACAGGCATAAGAAGGTGAGCCCGCCTATCTTCCATACTTTTGCCACCTCTATTTCTCTTCTCATGCAGGAGGCTACTGGGGCAAGAAAAGGCCATCCTTCCCTTGTGGAGATCTGTGTTGATCATCTGGATTTTTAAAAATCAGGCTGAGAGATAAATGAGATCAGTGCAAGCGCTGCAGGTTGCCCATATCTGTTCTAAAGAACTTGGTCACACTAAGTGGATAGACCTGTCACCATCTCTCACATCATCCCCTATTGAGGCTACACTCTAACCTTAAGCAAAAGTATTAACACCTAATGTAGAAGCATCAACAGAACAACTGGATCATCTGCCATTTTTTATTATGTTTTTCCTTCATCTTTGTAGTTCTGGTACTTGTTCAGGTGTCAATTTAGTAACCCATCTATGTTTACTAATTATATGAAGAGGTATGTAAGAATGGTGATAAAGCACACTATCTAAAAGGTACAATTTAACAGAAATGATAGCACATCTAATCTCATCATATTCAAGTTGACTCCCTACTGACTCCTGGTATTATAGTAATTACTGCTACTACCTGCTGGGGAAAATGATATAAACATTAAGACTGGAACACAGTTTTGTGTGTCATGAGAAAATAAATTACCTTGATTCATTTTAAAGTTCTAAAAGGAGGTGCTTGTGCAAAAGCACTGTGTTATGATCCGAACTCCAAATTTAAGTGAAAGAAATCTAAAGAAAGGTGGAGGAAGAGCATCTATTTTTTAACAAAACAATTCATTGTTAAGTCACATGAGAGCTACCTATTCTACCTGTTCATCTATTCACAGATTTATTAAATGATGTCAGATTACTACAGATTTTAGCAGAATTTAATTTTTGAATTAACAAAGCAAGTAGTTTTTCAGAATAATAAAGGCAGAAGAGTAGTCTTCAAACCATCTATTAAAATTATGTCTAACCCATTATATCTTCCCTTCACTGCAACCCTTACCGCTGAACCCTGTACTATGTAAAATAGGTCCCAGTTGATCTGGTGTTTTTATATTATGTCCTTCTCCTTAAAACACATCAGGTGATGGGGAGGGAGACAATAAGAACAAGAAAACAGCTTGTAAGAACTTAAGAATAGGGAACTGTATGTTAGAAAGGCCATTGTTCACTAAAGCATTCCTACAATAAAGAAGCATTGCATCTGCTCAAAGGAAAGCCTGAGGTCTCCTAATGCTTCTAGTGAAGAATTTGTCACGTGGTTCCCATATGTAGTCACATTGCAAGGCATTGCATTTGGGCTGCATAAGATTATACTGATGTTCTAGCAGTGGCATCTGATCTATATCACAATGGAAGCTGCCGCTTGATACAACTGCCACTGTGCAATTAGCTTCCGTGAGTGAACTAGTCTGAAGGCTATACCCGAACAACATTTGTTTTTGTGTGTGTGTGTTTTGGTTTTTTTATTTTTTGCTTTAATTCATTTTTATACCACAGCATGTTTCAGTGCAACAATATCTGAATGGATGCAGTTGCTAGTCACTTGCCCCAAGAGTAGGACTGCTTCTTTGCTTGACTGCTGGATGCTTAACAGAAAGGAATCAAAGGACTTGACCAAGACAGAAACAGTTTGTCGAGACAGGGGTGGGGAAGGGGGCTGTTAAGGCTGCCTGATAGAGCTGCCAAAGGTTTCTGTTTAGCACCTATCAGTTGCTTAAATTGTCAGGATATCTTACACCCAGCCGGGGACTTCACTGAAAATCTCCCACATGGAAGACAGGATTGTAGCCTAACAGAGAGGCACAATGAAAGATATGAAGGCATTGCTATCTACCACCAGATACAGTTGCCATTATGAGGAATTCTTCATTATCACTTTTGTCCAAGCAGTAATATAAAGCTTAAAAGAAAAGAAAAGAACTATTTCTGGGAAAGAAACCAGAGCAGGTGTCAGTGTTGTGGAGGGCAAGAGAAGGAAATAGCAGAAAGTTCCACTGGTACCTCAAGCGAAACCTTCAGTCTAGAACTGTTAAATGTACTAGATATTACCCTCTGCCTGTACATCCTTATGGAAAGAGAAAAGTTTCTGTACATCCTTATGGAAAGAGAAAACTTTTGCTATGAAAACTGTTGCACTCTACAAGGCGACCAGATTTAATCAATGGAAAGAAGAGGTTGTGAGCCAGTGTATGTTACATAAGACAAAATGTCCTGATTTAGAATGTAGTTACAATTTACAAACACCTTTTCACACATGCATAGTATTGCTAAGTGCTGTCAAGTCAGAACCTACTTAGAGCAACCCTAATAAAGCTTTCAAGGTAAAAGAAATGTTTAAAGAATGGTTTTATCAGTTCCACACCCTCAGTGAGTTTCCATGCCTGAGTGCAGAGTTAAATCCTGTCTTCCTGAGTCCTAGTCCATCATTTTATCGACTACACCACACTGGGTATCACAGACTTAGTAAGATACAGATTAAAGTAACAATAAGATGCTTAGGGAGGTAAAGTGCTATTTTTCCTATAGTCAACTCCTATAGTGATACATTCTAATTCACAAAATTCTGTTTGAAACTTCTGCCAGAAATGGAAACAGCATCCTGACTGAATGTATCCGATCCAGTATGCAGCATCTACTCTCTCCCTAGGAAAGTAATCACTTAGAACCACTACCCATCTCGTGGCGGAATTTTTGTCAACTATTCTTATGAGAAACCGTAATCCCCATCCCTCCCAACTTCAGTTTTAACCTTCCCCCTCTTTACTTCCCTGGTTACATTGTCTATTTTTCTTACTGTAATCAAATGCCAATAAAGGTTTATGTATGTAACTCTCTCCCTAGGACTTAATCATGCTAATGGTGTCTTCACCAGCCCTCGGTGGGATGCAAATGCAGCTGGTGCTTGGTATCCAAAAATGATTCACAGAAAACACAATAGAACCTATCGTCTTGAAGCTTTCTGTTTCTCCACTGGGTACCCAACACAAGTTCTTCTGCATCCCTTCAAAGGTTTCCTCCCTTATGAGAGAACATAACTCACTTTCTGTTATATTTATGAATTTTCGACAGCCCATAAGATGGTCAAAGAGACTTTGTATGTAAGTCAGTAGCACTCCCCAATATATTGCTTACATTCTTTATATATATTTAAAGTTCACACATCGTGCAGCTTGCCCTGCATTTTCCCAAACAGGTGCCTATTTTGACGATATTGATTATCTGTCACAGTACAGTCTTTTGTGCTCAGATGCACGTGGCCAGTAAAATACAAGGGTCACAGGAGGGACTCAACATGGGAATGGCTTGCAACATAGGGAATGTGTGCTGGGACCAATTTATGTCCCTCATTCGTGACATGCAGTATAGGCATCAATGACCTAACACTAGGTTCACCTGAGACACAACGATACTTTATCACGAAATAGCATGAGGTTGTTGGCTAAAGCAGAGAAAGATAGGCTGAACTGAATTCCAAAGAGGCTTTCCTACAATCCAGACCATTCCGGCGGTAAAATTTGCCTTCATAGTACAGTACTTCAGTACTGAGTCCTCCTTCAGTAAAGTGGGCAGAGATCTACAGTATCCAAAAAGTAAGTAATAACTTCCTGGGTCTCTACTTCTGTGTTCGTAACATTCCTCATCACTGTACAAAAATGGAAAGAGGGAAGAGGAGTCTAGCGAGTAGCAAATGTGGAAGATGGTCATTGTTTTCAAGAGGGCAAAATAAGCTAGTTGTCCAGACCAGTGGTTCCCATCCGTTTTGACACCAGCAACCAGTTTAGCTGAAGACCATTCTCTCAAGGATGGGGCTGGGGGTGGGGTGGTATTTGTTATGCAGTAGGTTGTTGGAGGGTAGCTTTGAATCGAGCTCATAAAAGAAATGGGGAGCAGGAGGTGAGCTGCAACTGAAGCTCTGCCTCCTCTTAGATCAGCAGTGGCTTAGAACCTAATAGGAGCACTGGCTCCTATTAGATTCTTATGCCACAGGCACAGCTGATCTAGCAGCAGCAGGACGGGAGCAGAAAGCAAATCTGCACCTCCTGTCAGATCAGCAGCAGCATTAGAACATAATAGGAGCACGCTGACAGGAGGCGGAGCTTCTCTCGCCACTCACCTCCTGCTTGCTGCTCATCTGTCCTGCTGGCCCAGTCCTTCCAAGGCCGCAGGAGTTGGGAACCCCTGATCTAGACCAATAACTTGGGATCTGCATGAATTAAGCCTTTAACCCAGAAACTAAGTATACATGTACTGCACGTGTTCTTCTCAGAAGTATACATACAATTTGCTTTGGGTGCAGGGTTGAAAGGAGATGTGGTAAACTTTGATTATGATGAATAATTTACATGGCATCAAATTAGTTCCAACTTATGATAACCATTTCCAGGGGTTTCTAGGTACAGCATACTCAGAAGTGATTTATCATTCCCTTCTTCTGGAGGTGCTCCAGGACTATGCAGCTTGCCCAAGGCTACACAGGCCAGCTCTTTTTCTGAGGAATCAAACTTCCAACCTCTGGCTCGATAGCCAGGTGCCCCATCTCACTAACTATTCCAGAAAAGGGTCTTCTACTATTGAAAAAAAAGCAAAGTGAGAATTTCTCCATGATGAGCTATGGTTAGTTACTGGTGGTTTTTACATTGGGGCTGATACGAGGTTGCCAAACTACCAAAATGGACTAGCAAGTGAGATCCTGAGCGCTTGGTATCTTGAGAATACAAACAGGGAAAGTACCATTGGGACTGCTGTCAACTCTGAACATAACTATAACAACTCTTTTGCTCTCATGGCAATAACAGAAAGGAGTCCTGTTATTGTAGCCAACATCCTTCTAATCCAACAGCTAAAATGAAAGGAGGGCCCATCAGCATCCCAACGTTCCTCCCCACTTCCAAGAAACAACATATCCAATTCAAACATGCAGAGTTAAGAGCTGATCTATAAGGATGCCATTACCCCATCCTACATTTTATCCTAACAGGACCACCATGATATACCACTGGAAGGGATTTTAAGATTTCTTCTCCCTTAGCTAATATCAATATTTCCCTAAACTTCAAAATATGACACAAACTAATGTGCTTTGAACTGGCACTTGAAGGACAGTAGTGGGGGAGCACAGTCCATGTCCAGGACACTTGCCTATTAGTGATGGCCAGATGAAACACACTGATGCTCAAGGGCATTACACAGAGACTTCCCATCTGATCTCAATTCCAGGTGAGTCAATAAGGTCACATTAAATGTCTTAATTTGCACTAACACAGTAAAAAAAAAACACGTGTTAGGCTACATTTTAAGCATATAGTTTTGACCAGTGAACTTTTAGAATCCATTTCACAGCTATGCCAAATGCAGAAACCCTTCAGGTTGGTCCTGTACCACTTCTGCCTATAGTTTGTGAATCACCCTAAGAAGCTCCTAAAAGTAAACAGCTAGCTGCTACTTGCTTAACTATTATAAAGTGAAAAGAAAAATACATATTGGCCATCTTACCAGCAGTAGTCCAGCAGGTGTGGTGGGAGCACTGGGATGTAAATATGTTGCCAGTGCATTGGATACAGTAATGCAGCTGACCCATGAACACAAGCAGTTAACTATAAAGAGAAACAAAGAATTGGCCAGTAAATAAACATTATGAAGGAAACAATCTTAAATTGCACAATAAATTAAGTTTGGAGTTTAAAACACAAAAAAGGAAGTCTGCAATCCACCATACATGTTTCCAATGATAGCTTTCTCTCCTCCACATACAAACATTTTCTATAACTTTATTTATTTATTAATACAATATCTGGGGGAAAATACTTTATGCAAACCAATATAAAAGCAATTGCACAATAAGTAGCACAGTGTATCCATATTCTCAAATGAGCCATTTCAGGTTTGCAAACCTTCTCAAACTAATCTCTCTGTGTGTTTTCTTTAAACTTCAATCTGTAGCAGGTTTGGCAACTTCTGAGGGTCATTTTTACCTTCTCATGGACCTTAGATGGATGCATCTTACAGTCTGAGGCTCACAATCACTTATACCCCCTTTCCCCCTAGTTTATTTGTTTGTTTGTTTATACCTCGCCCATCTAGACCGAAGTCTACTCTGGGCAGTAAAGAACACTCCAAGTAATGATAAAATAAAATAAAAGAACAACATTAATACAATTGAAGATAGTGAAATAAATTAGGTATTGAGAGGAGTTAGGGCACAACTTGACACAGAAGCATAATTTCACACACTAAGACATGTTTTAGGCAAGGAGAGCATTTTTTAGATACTGGAAGTGACCAGCCGTGGAGGTGAGCAGGCATCAGGGACATACTGCAAAAGGCAAGACGTTTCACTCTTGGAATGTTATACCATAGGATTTGCTTGAACACTTGTTTATTTATTTATTGGACATCAAAGTTCCTTAGGTTTGTGAGCAAGGATTCTAGCTTTCACAGGAATGTCATCTGGCAAGAGAAATTTATTTACATAATATGAAGGCCAAACTTCAGATGTCACCACACCTGGCACTTCAGATGCGGGTATATATCATAAAAAAGCTGCTTTGAAGAGAAGTCAAAAGTGCTTTTCCCTTACTAAGCCTTACTAAGGAAGCAAGTTATCTTGGAGAGGCTGAAGCAACGAAAACATCATGTCCTGCAGCTTTATATCTCAACTAAAACAAATGCATAAGACTGAAGTTCCATGAGTTCCTTAACCTAGAAAGCATCTCAGCCCTCAACATGCGATTCATACCAAACAAAATCCTGTGGAAGCTTATATACTACTGCAAAGAATCATGGAAATAGAAAAAAACATTGGATAGAATCCTATTGCCTGAAACTATGTTAAGGGCAATTGCACAAGCAGGTCTACCAATTTGCAGGATATCCATCTACCCCTTAGTCCCAACGTTTTCTGGTAGAACAAAAATGGAAAAGCATCAACAAGAATGCCATTTGAACCACAGTTTCCCTCAGTAAGTTTATGCCCATTAGGAACAAATCCCATCCCATACACTATTATGTATGTCCTGCATTGGAAAAACATACATCTTTCATCTCCACAAATCCTTTGAAGGGTCCAGTAAATCAGGTGTCTAAGAAGTGGACTTGTCCACAAAAGCTCACATTAAAATATAGCAGTTAGTCTTTAAGATGCCACAACATTTTTGTCTTCTTTATTGTTTTGGCTTGATATTCTACCATAGACTAACATGGCTAACCCTTCTAAAACTAAAAGAATAATTAAGGTTTCAAATTTTGCCAAAATGAAATAGAGCAATTTATGATGGGATAATAATTATGTTCCATCAAGTTGATCCCAGCGTGTGATGACCTTTTCCAGAGTCTTCTAGGTATAGAGTACTCTAAAGCACTTTACAATTTCCTCCTTCTGGATGCAGTTCTCATGCTGTGCAGCTCCCCAAAACTATACAGACTGGCTCTTTTTGGGTGGCACACTGGAGAATCCCAAACTCTGGCCACACAGCCAGATGCCTAAATCACTGAGCGACTGGATCTAGCAGTTCTGAGAGCTTTACTCTAAGCAAATAACTTCTCTGATCTCTGTCAGTTTGGATCTATGCCCATGTAGCCTATCTTAAAGGAGACCTTCCAGTGGTCTGAAAAGATGCTGATCCATGAACAGGACCTCAACAGGAGTTGGTCCTCCTGAAGACTGGACCTATTCTTGCTCCAACCAGGTGTGATCAGATGGGGAAACAGCTCACATTTTGGACCACTTGGGACACCATGAGATATGAGCTATTTCCTGGTGATCACAGGAGATTGTGAACCAGCTGAGCCCTCATCTATGACAAAGATGTTCCAACGGAAAGAACAAAACTACTCTCCTACTCTTTTGGTGGGCAGGGCTGGAAGGATTCTTGCATGGATGGAGGGCTGCTTTAACGGAGGTTGCATCCAGCACTCTTTCCACTACAATCAAACACAATCCTTTCTTGCTATCTGATTGCACCCTAAGTCTCAGTGTCAATATGATTTATTAATTATTCATATTAGCTAATTACCTGATATCGTTTTATCATGCAGTTTAGAATGATCATGTAGCATCTGAGTGGCCTTCAAGGTTTAAATGTGGACCATGGTAATATTGCACATCCACACCCTCCGGAGTTATTGAACAAACATGGAAAATATTTATTCACAGTTCCAGGGACTGGTTCACTGTGAAGGAAGAAACCCCAACTTTAACTTTGCTTTAGCTTTTGTGATCACAAATGTTTCATCAAACTGGTACAGAAAGCAAGCTAAGGGGAAACTGCTGTTTAGTGATTTTAAGAATACTCACTGGATGAGTTCAGCTTTAATTGCTAAGCAAGGCTTATGAGAAGGTCATACTGTACTTATAATCTTCTAATTGGGGACACTGGTGTTGGCCAACACCAGTGTTTTGCGTTACTAGCAGCACTGCCTCATTAATTCCATGAAAACAAACCTCTTGCATCCAGTACAGCTGAAAAGGACTAAGCTTTCTTTCTCAGTAGTACGTTTGAAATGTACCTATTGTTTGTTCATGTTGAAAGCAGAAGTACCTATTACAATCTATATATTCAATTTATATTTACTCCAGAGATCACTTTAGGTCATTCTCATATCTAATTAATACAAGACTTTTAAGATGATGCCTTGGATCTAATTACTTCTAGCTACAGTGGCAGTACAATGTCCCTGCAGTAAATGGTTCCAAATACTCCCAGTGTTACAGCACCTGAATTCAGCCAATTGAATAGGCTAAAATAATTTTGCCCTTTCTTCTCCATCTTGTCAAATAAGAGGATAATTTTTATGCTCCAACTTCCTGTCTTTAAACATGTCCCATTATGGTATACCAAGCTAGCCCCATATTGCTGCATAATTACTACCATAGAGCTTGTTTCAATGTTTTGTTTGGTCTGTTAATGGACTATTTAAATATTTTGCCATCGCTGTAGGAACAGTAACTATACCCATGAGCAGAAACAGCCAGTTTGGGATAGGAGGTGGTGGTGGTGACAGTACTTTCCTTATACTGTATATTGAAAAATTCTGGACTGGGGTAGAATACCAAACCTGCCTGTCTCTTGTAATATACTGATCTAGTTCATACGCAGATGTTCCTCATCATACAGGGAAAAATAGTAATGTGACAGTTAATATCTGGGTAATACATGCTAATTGTATTTATTTTCTCTGAATGAAGATTAATAATTGTTTAGAGAGATATAAATTGCACGTTTTTACTGGGCTTAGTAGCCAGTAATACCTGTGATATCTGCCCTGTGCTGCCTACCCCACCCTGTACTCCCTCCTTCCTTTCCCCATGTTGTTGGCACATGATAAGAATTGCAGGGAGGGCAGTGTTGGCTTATTTCACTTGAAGTCAGGTTTGGGGATGCTCATACACAGCACAAACATCTCTTGCTGTTTTCTGACCTTCCCCAAAGCTTGTGTACAGGCAGGAAAAGAGCCTCTTGATCCCCCATCTCTGCATGCCTCAATGACTCGGGACAAGGAGGGTAGTAAGGTCAGTTTCTTCCCTTTATACTGGGTTTCTGAGAAAATGAAGACTCTCTTTCTGGCTTGCTACAAAGTCTGGTCCAAAGGGAGAGGCAGGATCCCATTCATGTTCTATTGTCATTACCAGAATACAATGAATGACTGTTGTTCTCAAGTTTTCTACAGGACACAAAGAATAAAAGGTATTTCATTTAAGCATTTTTGTGGGGTGACAGCAGAGGAATTTTGCCTAGATTCCATGTAAAGGTCCCATTTGCCTTTCTTTGGGATTGGGATGTAGAGTGATCTTTTCCAATCCTCTGGCCACTGTTGGGTTTTCCAAACTTGCTGGCATATTGCATGTAGCACCTTAACAGCATCATCTTTCAAGATTTCAACATTTGTAACTACTGTTATATTATTTTCATAGTAACACCATAACTACTAGTTACATTGCTCGTTACAAAATTACTAGGTGCAGTTGACCACACTACTCGAAGCTGGTTACTGTTACACTCGGAGTTCCTTCAGCTATCCATCAAAGGAGGGCAATTTTCAGGATTCTGGGGGTCAAACAAATGTACTCCTGGATCTTGGAGGGCTGCACATATTCCTGCTTCCTTCAGCACCAAATATATTTCATTCACTTTTTAAAAAGCTGAAAAGGCCCCTTGTACCTTCTAGTACAATTTTTTTTTTTAAAAAAAAATTAAATTATTTAAATATGAATGGGTGTGGGGGATACCTAGGGTGTGAGGACCCAAACAAATAGCACTCCCATTCCCCTACAGAGCATAAAGGCGTTTGTTTGGCTTTGCTTTTGGTAGCAATTGCTTTTTTGAAAAATATAATGCCAGGGGTGTCAAGTTCTGAATGGCAGGAGTGCTCACTCATACCTTTAAAGAAAATAGTTGTTTTTGTTTTTTTAAAGATTTGAGAGGTGACACCTTTAATGCGTGGTCTACATCCAGGACAGACATTATGACAACAATACTAATGAAAGACAGATGGCAATAATACACTGTAGAGCAAGGCAGAAGTAGCACAAATAAACAGCATACAAAATTGTGGGCTGCGCTGAAAAAAGCCAGTGTGGTCCCTTCCACATTGCTCA